TATATATGTAATTATATTAGAAAGAAACCAAAAAAGAAACTTTGAAAGAAACTTAAATTAGAAAGAAAGACATTGAAAGAAACCAAAATAAGTTAGATAACAAAGGGCTGTAACGTGATTACAGACAACGGTAAAAGTAAAAGCTTTGTTGTGAACCGGACTTTCTGATAACTCTTTTAGTAAAAGGTTATTTATTAACTTATCTGCCAGAAAAGCAACGCAAATAGGATTCTTTAGATCACATGAGAAATATTCACAAAGCATGTGCTTCTTTGAGTATACAAATATTTAAATGTAATATCAAAAAATATAAATAATAATAATATAATGACGTGATCACTTAATGGACAACTTTCTAGCATGACTGCCTTTTTCTTAGACTAAAGCCTTTTTCATGCATTGGAAGGAGAAACTGACTCATTCTTCGCAAAGCAGCCAATCAGACATACAGAAGACACTGTACAGTTAATGAACACTTTGTTGGTTTGTACAATTATAAACTGTCCCTGCCACAAGAATACTGGCTGGCCATTTGCTCAAGTACTGTAGCTTCATTTCCATATATAACCATGTATAAAGGTTCAAAGTTAGTAAAAATCATTGTTCTGAACTTATTCATTGTTCAAATATGTTAAATAATATAAATGTTTAGATTATTCATTAGATTTAAAAAAAAACATTGGATGACAAAGTTATCCCAAAATGGCAAATAATTTGCCTGATTCTTTGGCTAATAGATTATCCAGTCTACCTTGAGAGCCACGGACACAGTGCCCCAGGCGGTCCACCTCCCCACAGGTAGCTCGCTCTCTCACAACACCAACCTGGAACCCTGCAAGGTTGGCAAAGAAAATGGACAAAGGTGAAAAATTAAATGGCGTTTAAAAGTTTTAGATGCATCTATAAAGTAGAATAAGGTTGGTGGTAATTTCAGATATTAGACTTTTTAAACTTTATTTTGTTTTATTTTCCAGTACACTTATAAAGTCAAAGTGTTATAATGAAGCAACAACAATAAAACCAACAGCTGGAATGACATCCTTTAATATGCCAGTAATTAATATGGCTAAATGATCAAAATGTTGTTCAAGTTATTTTGTGCATTCCTTGTTTTATTTGTAAGAAATTCTGCTTGAAAAGATGCAAAAACATTTTAACAACTAGGCAAAAAATGAGATTTAATAATAATAACAATAATAGCTATATGTTGTCACCATTGTACTATGCAATGGCAAAATTAGTTCTCTGAATTTAACCCATTGCACCTGGGATGCACCCAGGTGGAGCAGTGAGCAGCTATGTAAGCACCCAGGGAGCAGTTGTGGATTAGGTGTCTTGCTCAGAGACACCACGACATGTGGGAATGGTTGGAGATCGAACCTGAGACTTTCGGGTCCCGAATCAGCTGCCCTCCCTCTACCCCATTTTAATTGTTATATTACTAATCATACCTTAATGGATTTAAAACTTTATTCACAACTTTTTTTTTCTACAGCAACAAAATAAGTTGCAGTAGTGAGGTTGTCAAGGCTATACCAGGGCTATTCAACTGGCGGCCCACGGACCACTTTCGGCCTGCGGGTGACTTCAGTCCAGCCTGCTCTGGGTTCTGTTTTCATTTCAATAAAACAAACAAATTTAAAAGATAACAGATCATTGTAATACTTGGTTTACATAATGACTAATCGCTGGATGTCTGGCCCCTGCGCTGCTGGCTTTCAGAAACTGTGGCCCACTGAGCAGTTTAGTTGAATAGCCCTGAGATGTACCATGTCTGGTGAACTTAACCACTGCTTACAATTAAAACAACTGAAGAAACCACTGGGTGATCTTATCTGATCAAGGGCTTGATATCCCCGTCCCTTTTCCTTGTCAATCACACATTTTTCTATATTTCACACCACATATTTTATTTCCCTTTCACTAGACTGCCTTAAAAAAGGAAGAACAATAAAATATAAGGTATGCTTTATGTACTGAAACCAAGAATGGTCTGTGTTTTCACTGGAACATGGAGAAACCTGTTAAGGGCCTCTAGAAGTCAGCATGACATCAGTGTTATTTATAGATTCTTCTAGCCCAGCCTGAGGCCACATTGTTGTCTCCCATTTGATTAGTCTACTATTGTACTAATAAGAAATGTTGGCTTGGGAAAAAATTTAAACTAGGCGGCTAAAGTTTATATGTCGTCAAAAAAGAACAAGCTTTCTGGAACTGGAATAAAGTGCAATATCAACCTCCCCAAAAAGTTCCCTAAAATCATAACCGTAAAATAGTAAAGTTATGAGTCGTATAGCTTTTATAATGACAGACTCATTGTGATTGAGATGGTTATCAGTAGAACAAGAATATTATAATTAGTAACCTGTTTGGCTGTGCCGTTTGCTCTTTGACAAATCAATTTATCAACTGCTTTCAGCCTTTTGTCAACAAAAATGTTAATTAATCTAAACATGTTCTCCTTTCCTGTACAATAAGTAAGCAAAAAAGGAAAAAGTGAACAATAAGCTATGACCCGGTGACATAAGTGTATAATTCATGGAAGTATTTGGAGGAAAGTGTTTTGTTACCATCTTACTCTGTGTGCTTTCTTTATCACTTCCCCTCCTGCTGATTACTGCCAAGCTTTGTTCACCACCATGAGCCAGTAAAGTTAGGATTTTAATCTATCTGCCTTCCACTGCTGGCTAGTTAATAAACATTTTCTCCAACAGGTTTACGAGGTAAGCATAGCAAACACTTTACAACAAACAGATGTTTTTTGTTTTAATTACACTGAAAAAAAAGGGAAAAAGTTCATGAAAATGTATACTTTTTAATTCAAGCAGATCAGATGTGACAAACAATTTGATTGAGGGTTTATTTTTCAGATAAAACTGAGCCCTCTTAAGAGTCAAACTCAGTTTGGGTTCACAGATCATACTGAATCAACATGGGGTTAAAAAAAAATTACAGAACAAAAATCTAAAACAAGGTCAACTGAGAAGTTATGTTGAAATGGATTTTTAAAATAACATGGAATAACCCGACCTGATCATGAGAAAAACAGTGGAGGGAAAGGGCTGGGAAAAATTTTAATCCTTCAGATCAAAATTTTTAAATCGAACCACATGCTTTTGGATTAACAGGAAAACCACCTGACAAATCAATGAAAACCTACTTTTCTCACTGTGCAAAAGATAAAAAACACTTGTTTTGAACAGAAGTTCTCTGATGATGCTGCGCCGACATGAAAGCTTCCTGCATGGTTTAAAAGTATTCCACAACTAGAACATGAGAACAATGTAAATCCTCTGCAAGTGATAAAACCTAATGCAAACTGTGTGAAAAGACATTTAGAGATAACTGCATAATTCTGTGTAGTGTAAATGTAAAAAAAAAAAAAAAAATACAACAATAGTAGCCATTATCCCACCCTGCAAAATTTAATTTAAACCTTTTTAATCATCCAAACAAAAATGCTCTAATAAAAGCTAAATGAAGTGAAAAGCGAAACTTATTAGGAAACTATGGTATTAAAAAGTTAAGGCAATACAAAACTAAGTACTTTTGAAGTCTTACAATTTAGTATATTTTTTCCAATGTTTGAATGACTATGACCTGTATAAATAAAGGTTGATTGATAAATTTTACAACTGTTTGATTTTTTTACCGAGTTTGTTCTCAGTTTCACTGATGTGGCCCGCTTGGTTGTCCTGCTCCTACTGGAGACAAATCGCTACACAAATGTAAGAAAGGTCTGCTTTTCCACCACACTGATGTGGGGCTCCCACATCAAACAGTGTCAAGTGGCTGAGAGGACGTCTGTCGTGTCAGGATATTTCTCATCTCCGCTCTGAATCGGTACCGGCAGGCTTTCCATTATAGGTTGTCTTTGAGCTCGACTGTGAAAAGTCAAGAGGCATGGGCTCAAAGGGCAGAGAAATATGGGTGCCTCGTGTGTTTAACTGAGACTTAACTGCTTCTGAACGCCTCGTCTGAAAAAATAAATACAAACACTGAAAAATACACAAACACTTTTACGGAAAGCAAACTTTTCACCCTAGTTCAAGGGTGAAAACGGAAAAGCTCAGCATCTTAATAGCTTGATTCCACAAAAATGCTTAAATACTCTCTAAAAATTGATACATATTCAAAAGCAAATCAAATTAAAATAATGTCTGGTTAAATCAAATTAATGAAGCTTTAAAAAAAATGGGCGGGGGAGGGGGGATGACAATACAGCTACAGTATACTACTGCAGGAAAAAGATAAAGAGGAAGGTGAAAGAGGAGATATATGGATGCAGTTAAGAGGACATGGAGGTAGTTGGAGTGAGGACAGAGGATGCAGACGCCAGAGTGAGATGGAGAAGGTGGATCTTTCTCCGGTACATCTTTCTGATTCTACTTACTGTCCCAGTCAGACAATGCACAGATAGTGTACTGTCCCAGTCAGACAATGCACAGATAGTGTCTGACTCATAAATTGTTAAAAGGCTGCGGAGATTAAGATCGAAGGAACAACAACAGGCATTGGTGTTTGTGGATATTATTGTGCTCCGTTTAAAGGCCATATGCCATCAGAGTCACACAAAACATTTTATCTTTTGAGCCTCAGTGTGGCATGATGAAGAATAAGGAAGATAAAGCAGCATCTAGAGAACTATAATGTTAATAAATAAACTGAAAATAGTAGTGAATAAAACTTTCCCAAGCTGTTCCATATCAGATTTTTTTGTTACACACAAATATAAATCAATAATCTACATGAAGCAAAAAAACTTTCCTAAACCTTACTTAGTTGAGCCGTTTGTGATCCAGGCATGTCAGCCATGACACCAAACGAAAAACCTAGCAGACAGTTTTACCAATTAATGAATCCATATCAGCAGTAAACAAATGCCAGCCCAGAAATGTGATGTGCATACCACACCAAGGGTGAAAAATACTCCACAAAAACCACCATAATTAAGTACAAATACAGTTATGACTTTTACATTAATATTAATCATTATTGTGTGACAATTAGTTTCTAAGATGAACCAACACATGTAAAAACCTTAGTGATTTAAGAAACTGTAAATATTACGTTTGATTTGTTGCCAGATACTCATTACAACTCTGCAAAATTCTACTTGAAAAACCAAACTACATGTAAATGGCTGTGCAAAAGCCTCCAAAAGCAAAATACTCAAATGTAACTTGATAGACCAACAATTCATTAAACAAGAAAAGCAATGACATGCTGCAGCACTGAGCCTCTTAAGACGGTCCCCTTAAAAGTGTTAACATTTTTAACATTGAAGGCTTTACCTGTAAAAGTTATGTTCTTCAGTCATTTAAAAAAAAAAAAATATATATATATATAATTTCTGTAAAAGTGAGTCACAAAGGTTTTTTAATTAATTTACACGGTAACAGAAAGTAAATCATGTCTACAGTCATTTCAGTCATTTAACTTCCTTTTTAATAAAAACGACCTTAATAAAAATAAAAGTATGTACGTATGGATCATGGATGCACAGACAGACAGATAGAACATTATCAAAATAATTAGTCATAAAAATCCTTTTAAAATTAACTTTGTTGGCATTATTTTTAGTTTCATGTTTTTATACTAAATATTTAAAAAGGGAACTGTTCTTGACATGTGTTAAATAATAATAAGCTAGAATAACATGGACATAACCGCAGCAGGTGTACGAGCAGTTTCAAAGGAGTCTAAAAACATAACTTACAAACTATTTATTGACATTAGTTAATTAAAACAATCCAAATAACTTAATAAATCGATTTAACCATGAAAAATTACATATAGCTCTTTAGACATCTATGTAATCTCATCTGAATCATCCTTATTAGGAGGTTTAGTGTCAGGTTACACACTTTGCTTAGGTTTGTCATCCTTTTGTTAATGTTACACAATTAAAGTTAAACCAGTTGGCTTTACATGACAAATTCCTAACACTGAATCATGTCTACAAATAGAAGCTAGTCGAGGAAGTACCTCATCGGGAAGATTAGAAGAGATAACTGTATGTTTGCTAGCAGGCTAATGCTAGCCAAGCTAAAGTATTAGCTCTCCACTCAGTCAGCGTGTGTCCTACTCCTTACGCTCAGTCCCATTCACTCCTTCAACGAATCGTGTTTCGTAAAGAACATCGGCTGCTTTTCAGGTAAATCCACAAAGGCAAAGAGAGAGACACGCCTATCAGTTAGCTTAAATAACCGCTTATAGCTTTAGCCGCGCTTCGGCAGAAAATGACACATGTGGTGGTGTTGACGAGCGCGATGAAGGCAGCCCTAATATGACACTCACCCAGAACCACCTGGAAACTCTAAAGATCACCTTCGAGTCATGGTGTGAAGATGGTGGCCGTTATCTGAAGGAAAACGTCGCTGAGAAGAGAAGCAGGTCCGAGTTTGAGAGAAAAATGTTGCCCACAGCAGCAGCAGACAGCCGGAGCTGAAGGTAGCCGTGTGTTGATGACAGCTCAGACCCACAGATCTACAGCTTTACTACAGCAGCGGTGAACTGGACTCAACTGGCTCACTGACGACAGGAAGTGACGTCACGCGTCAAACCGCTTTTTTTTCTACGGAAACAATATATTTTCACGCTTATACAATGTAATTTTATCACGTTATAACGTGATCGTGTTCACATTTTTATTTTTTTTTCCTTGACAGCAATACGCTTCTGTATTTTTCATTTGGTAATTCACTTTTTTCCATTCAACCTTTATTTATGCAGGTTAATCCCATTGAGTCTCGGGAACTCATTTACAAGAGAGACCTGCTTTTTTTAATTTTTACAAAGAGTGATGACAACAATGGATAACAATGACAACAATAGACGACAATAAAAGAGGCATCCATCCATCCCATCCATCCATTATTTTACCCGCTTCTTCCATTTTGGGGTCACGGGGGTCACCAGTGCCCATGTCCAGCAATCACTGTGCAAGGGGCGGGGTACACCATGGACAGGTCGCAAGTCCATAAGAGGCATACAAATTTTATTATTATTATTATTATTACAAATTAAAATAAAATGGCAACCAAATGACAGTCAAAAGGAAAAAGTAGCGAAAAAACCAGCGCGATTATAAGGCGGTGTAAAATACTAAAAACAGGAACATGTCTGCATTGTTTTTTGCCAGGAACTTAACCGATGTTTAAAGCCACTTAGAGAGGTCAAGAGCTTCAAATATTTTTGTAAGATGATACAGGAAACAGGAGTGGAGTAGGAGAAGACCCTTTTGCCTAATTCAGTCCTCACTGAGGGAACACTGCAGGTAATAATGTCCTGAGAGCGCACGCTGTAATTGCACTCACACAGAAACATGTAGGAGGAGATGTATGAAGGCAACAGACCAAGAAGTGATTTAAAGATGAAAATGTATCAGTGGGAGAGTCTGCGTGAAGTTTACGATGACCAGTTAAATATTCACTACTTACTTACTTTATCACAGTCCATCAAATTCAAAATAATCTGTGCAAAATTTGACTTTGAAACAAGAGAAGAACACAATCAAATATAATTAAAGCACACTTTCTGTTTCCTTGACACACCCAGTCAGACACCTACACATTTTTATGGCTGCAAGTTCATCAACAAGAGTTTAATTGATTTGATTGGATGTTTTTACCTGTTACTCTTTGCAATTCGTAATGAAAGATTACTTAAAAATCCTCACCAATTCTTTTTTTAAAAGTTGACTAAATGTCAGGAGCAGTCTGCACTGAGCATGCTCAGTTTTTTTAAGCTAGAAGAGAAGTGATAGAGAATCATTCTGTCTTCAAACTAATAAATTAAAAATATTATCTTGGGAGCCAGAAAAATGTTAGCAAAGGTCAGATTTTGCTTGCGGGCCTTGAATTGACACATGCTATAAAGCAGCCACAAAATCTGAAGGCATTTTATTGTTTATATGTTCACCAAATTGTTCTCTTTGTGATTAACAATTCAAGTCTTTTGTGACAGGTGTAATTTCAAGATAGCCATCACAACCACATCACAGGAGATGGGGCGGCTGTGGCTGAGTGGTTAGAGCAGTCATCCTCCAATGGGAGAGCTGGGGGTTTGATTCCACCAGCAGTCACATGTTGAAGTGTCACTGGGCAAGACACTGAACCACTCATTGCCTCTGATGTGTCTCATTGGTGTATGAATGGGATAAAGCACTGATTATTTTGTGTAGAGATCTAGTAGAGTGCTGTATGAATGTGTGTGAGGAGGTAAATGAGGTCACAGATTGTGTTGTAAAGTGCTTTGAGTAGCTTGATTAGATAGAAGGGCACTATATAAGCACAGTCCATTTACCGTTTAATACTCAGTGCGTTAAGAATGACTCTCAGCTACTACTGCATAAAATTTACCTCGTTATCTGTCATTTTGAGTAAGTCACAGCCAATTTTGTATTTGCAATGATCAATTAGTTTTGTCATCTTAAATTGGATTAATACAAAATGTCAATCAGTTGCGTACATAGCATTAAGCAAAGATGTTAGCACAAAGTATGTTTTGGAGACGATCAGATGTAACCACACTAAATTTTAGCTCAGTATCTCTAAACTGTCCCAGTTAAAGTTAAAGCCATTTTTGTTTGTTCAAATAAGTCAGCTGTGGCTTGAATTGGGTTGAGTAAGAAAGTTAATGGATTGCAGATGAACATCTAGGAAATACTTTCTGAAAAATGAATCAAAATTAATTCAGAGTTGTGAATTATTTTGCTAACAATGCAACAACAAAAAAAAATCACACTAGCACAAACACTATCATCCTGCTTTCTCGAGATGGTGTGGAATTTAAAAAAAAAGGCTGTACAGTGGTTCATTTTGTTGTGTGCGTTCGTCTTTGTAGCCCTGGCAACCTGCTCAGCGTGTACCTGACCTTTGATTTCTGGAGACGGGCACTAGCTCCCATCAATCATGAACAAGAACAAGCAGGTACAGTAAATGAATGGGCACAAAAAATTTTAAACTAAATAAATACATAAATTAAATGAACATGTAGATACCAGCTTTTGGTTTATTTATCGCGTCCACCGTAGAATTTTAACTTTTCATCATCAGTATTTTGGTTTTAAAGCGGACAGAACATACAGATGTGCACATTGTGTTACTGTGGTTAAAAACACTGATCTTTCCAGGTCAGTCCGTAAAGTACATTTTTTTTCAGTGTTCAAGATACTCTGGTAAATGGTACAAAATTCCAAGTTAATCAGCTACCACTTTGTATTGATTGACATTTTTTCAGATTTATTCCCTGCCCATTTATTTTAACAACTGTGTTAGTCATAAATACCTTACCCCAATCACTCCTCCCTCTTTGGAGGACTTGCAAAGCGAACAAAACATCCTGCAGACTCAAGTTAGCCTGCATCTTCCACGTCCTTCACTGTGGAGTGAACACAGATGCACAAGCCAAAATAAACAGAAAGGCTTTCTACCCACTGTTGCTTTAAATGTGCTAATCCATGGCAATTCTTCACTTTTACAAACAGAATTCCACCTTTTTGTGAGTGACGCAGAGCTTTGCTCTCGGCTCAGTCTCAGAAGAGACAGAGATGAGGCCCCGGGATTGAACAATGCTTGCTCAGCAGAGATCAGACTCCTTTGTGTTTCGATCCGCCCAAGAATATTCACCAATTTCCAAGTCCAGTCCTGTTGATAAAAGACTTACTTTCATTTAGTCCTATGAAAAGATGTTCATGTACCTTGAATGTTTCCACATTTTGGCACATTACAACTACTTCAAAATATATTACTCAAAACAAAGTTTTACATAATTGTGAAGTCAGAGAAAAATTAAACATGTTTTCTTTTCCAAATAAAAGCTTGAAAAGTGTGGTATCATTTCTTTTTTTTTATTCAGCTCTTTCATTGCAATTTTAGCTGCAAGTCTTGTTTGGTCTCCACCAGCTTTGCACACCTAAAGAATAATTTTTAAAAAATCCCTTTCTTTCTTTCTTTCTTTTGTAAAAAAGCTCACTCAGATTGAACGGAAAGCTTCTGTGAACAGCAATTTTCAAATTGTCCCTCCTGAAGAAAAGCATCCCCACATCATGATGCTGCCACCACCATGTTTCACAGAGGGGAAGCTGTGTTGGTGGTGATGTACACTGCTCCCCCCATTGTAGAACTGCAATGACCTCATATTTTTTCTGTTGCAGACGATAGAGATCTTAGTGTTTGTGCGATGTTCAAATCTTGTGACATTGTTTTATAAGCTAATCCTTTTATCTTAACATCCGTATCCCCGACCTGGCTGGTGTGTTCACAATGCCATTTGATCCCAAACCAACATTCATGTGTTGGAACATCATATAAAATGAAAACGATAAATTCAGGGATGGGAATATTCTATTTCAGGGCCCTATGACCTATATAAATAGACAATATATGATAAAATTTTATGTTCAAAGGAAATTCCTCTTACTATACAAATCTTATTTCTCACAACAGTCACATTTCTAGGCTCTTATTTAAAGCTGTCACTAAAATAAGTGCTCTCAGGTCAAAAAAAATGTTTGAATTACTAAATATTTCTGGATCATGTTTACAGGTAGAATAAGGTGCTAAATTACAACGTTGCCTACTGCTGATATCAGCAGTTGCTTTGTTACATCTCATTTGTTGTTCCCCAGTCGTTTTTTTTCCTCAGCCAGACAAGTCGCTTTCGGAAATGTAGCAGGGAGGAGTTCAGCATGGTTCATAACTTTCCTTTGAGCCGTGTATTGTTTAGTTATCAGGTCTTAGTTAAAAATGTCCCACTGTGTTGCTCTCTCATCATCTGGTAAAGCCCCAGAGGTAGCAGACAGACAGAGGTCTGCTGAATAATGCAGAGGACAAACGAGCCCCGGCCATCTAGTCTGGGGCTTATCTGTTCTGTGGGCTCTTTTCCCAGTCCAGCCCTGATAACCCAGGATGACCAGCAACATTCAGGATGTGACCCCAATAACCTGAAACTGCAGCAGTGGGAGCAATATTGTTTATTAGGGAAGATGTTCTTCGTAAGCCTTCCACAAAAAAAAAAAAAAAAAAGATCAAGGGACTGATGTTGGCTGCAGCTGCTGCTGTGCAGCTAAAGCTCAAACAGTCATTTAGAGTTACACAATGTTTCATACTGAACTGTAAAAGTGTGCATTAGAAATGACAGATAACGGGTTAATGCTTGCATTTTTTTAATTAATTAATTACAAAGTTGCTGTAGCACGTGCATTTGAAGAGGAGTTCAACCCACAGCAGAGCCGCTCTTGTTCTTGGCACACAGAGTTTTCTGTGGCCGTTCAGACATGGAGCAAATGCAGACTTTGAAGGGTTTGGACTTTGTCGGCCAGTCCTGAAGGGGAAACTCGTCCCCCTCCTGTGGTTTTGCTGCTGGTTTACTCCACTGTGAAATAGCAGCTTCAAAATCCCACTGGAAGAACGGAAAATCACAGTGGAAGGGTCATGTTATGTCATCTGTTTTCAAGTTAATGTGCAGAGAAATAAGTAACTACAGTGGAATTGTTGGCAACACTTGAGTAAATGCAAAGTTGAGAATATTGTTTTGAAATAAAACAACATCTAGCCTTATGGATGTTTGGTAGCACACAACTATCTATAGTTTCCGTCACATTGCTGTGTGTGTAACCACTAAAATTAGCAGATTTCTTGAGATAAAAATTGTCTGCATTTTGCACTAAAACATTTAGAGATGGTAATTTTCATGCACACCAGCGACCCTTGTGACCTGGAAAGGAAGCAGCAAGTAATGATAATGGATGGATGTTGGTAATTTTACAAATACAGAAATTTGTGATTTAAACTGCTTACATGGAACATCTCATGTACAGTTTTGAGACAATGCTCATGAGAAGCAGAACATCTTCAGCTACAGAGTAGAAGTCCACTTGTTTTATTACCTTATTTTACATTATTTATTAAATCCCGTATGACTGAAAATCTATCAGCGTCTGGCAAAATGATTCAATTCATCAAACAGGTGTCAAATATCTTGGACATTTGATTAAATTTGTTCTGGTTTAATGAAAGTTTACAACACCTATAATAACAGCGTAAGTGCTGTTCATTCTGAGCAGATTGGTAAAGTTCTTGGTCTAAAGTGTCTTTGACAATTAGAAAATACATTTAATTAATACACAAGCAAAGATCAGAAAGAGTCTGAATTATCAGCGATCATCTTGGAGGAGGCTGTGGTTTGCTCAGCCACGTTCACAAATTCATTTCCAGCAGCACTGGAATGTATTTATTGCACAGACGGTAAAAGGCGAGTGATAATGTCTTTTCTTGTGTCTGTGCATGTATGTTCTTTTGTGTATGTGTCTGTTAGCAAAATCTCAAAAACTACTGGATGAAACTACTGGATGAATTCAAATGGAAAAAAATATATACAGCACCCACTCACAAGTGATAAAAACCTTTTGCCGATCCAATTCAAGATGGCTGCCACAATCAACTGACACAAACGGCACCAATTCAGTCAGTTTATTTATTTGATGTGGTAGTAGAAGAGTGTCATCTCCAACACATAATGCAAACTCTCATGTTCTGAGTATCAAATGAAACTGTGCATATTGTTTTTAAGATTTGATCAAGACAGCGTTAACTCATTTGTCAAGATGTTCTTACCGTATTTTTCGGACTAAGAGGCGCAATATCAATGAACAGGTCTGGTTTCATATATAAGACGCACCGGATAAGGTGCATTAAGCAAAACTAAAACATTTTGACAGATTTTTGAGTGCCGTGTACCACATAAAATCGGTTCGAGGTCAATAAACACAACCAGAATTAATACATAAGGCGTACCAGATTATAAGGCTCACTGTTGATTTTTGAGAAAATTAAAAAGGATTTTAAATGCGCCTTATAGCCCGAAAAATACGGCAGCTTAAAACTGAAAGGCAGCAGGAGTAGGCAAAATAAATTCCTTCAAAGAATATAAAATCTTTAACATTAATATTCTGATGCTAACTATTACATTGAAAAAAAAATGCAATATTAACATGATTTGTGAAAATGTGAACAACCTAGATTATATGAAAGCATTAAATGAACATCGACAATAATAGGGATTTAGTATGGTTCCCACACAGTTTAACTCCTGGCCTGCAGTCATCACAAATCACAAGAAAGACCATAAACATCTCCCAAAATAGCGGGGGGGGGGGGGGGGGTAGAACTGGCCCCCTATAGTAGACAAGGCGACCATTTTGCACCATTTCCTAGGCAGACAGACCCAGCCCAGAGCTAGTCTTTAATCAAAGATTTTTTTTTACAGCAGAACAATTGGGCCACATGACCAATCTCAAACATTTCCACCCATCACTGTACCCCTCAGCCTCACCCCGGCCAAGAACCAGCACTCAGCAGAAATGTTTTAGAAACGCATGAAACAATAGAAGTTTCAAGCTGCTGGCTGACCAGTTTAGAAAGGCAGCAAACTTGTAGATGGAAAAAACGATTGTGGACTTGTTTTCTACATTCCCAGCTACATTTTTAGCATCTTACTGGTTGGAAAAGCCCAGGTCTTAATGGAACATAAGCACTGCAGTTAAATGAAATTGAAAACCACTCAGTTCAGTTGGTTGAGGATTAAATATTAGACACAAAGTCAACTTGTGTGAAAATCATCTTTCCATTATATCACCAAGTAAACAGTTTCTGTTAATTCTAGATATAGCAAGTGGAAGAGTGTCCAAGAGGTGCCTGGGAATTTACTTCCAGAAGCCTTAGATCACAAAGATGAGTGAAAACAACCCCACGATATTTCTAATCATAGACTTGTTCAGTATTATTCAGGTTTAATTTACATTTGAAGTTTGCGGTAAGTTCCAATTAATATGCAAGATGAGGGCACTTTGAGTGATGCACAGCTTCCAGAAACCTTTGTCAGTCCACAGAATACACTCCCCAAAGTCCTGAGCCAGGCTTTTGTATTCATCAGTGGTTTTGGCCTGAGATGTCTCCAATGGTGGCCATTTTTAACTTACTTTTCCCCTTTCTTATGACAAACTCTGACCTTATCTGAGGCAAGTGCAGCCTGCAGGGATTTAGATGGATTCAGAGCCGTTGATGTGCTCTTGAAGTAATTTTGGTCAGCTAGCCACTCCTGGGAAGGTTCACTACTGTTCCGTAGTTTCTCCATTTGTGGACAATGGCTTGATTTAAGAGATTTCTAGATTCTACAGCTCTGGCAGTAATCAGGCCTGAGTGTGGTTCGTGAAATTGAACTTAGCCATCTATTAAAAAATGTGGTTAAGTTTAATTCATTCACAAACCAATTAATGGTGACAACAAAGCAAAAGAAGAAATCTCCATATAAACATATTTTCACAGCACTGTTCTTTATGCATGGGATAAATTTTCATTGTTATGCTGATGATACACAGTTATATTTGTCCATGAAACCCAATGAATCCAATCAGTTACTTAGACTACAAGCATGTCTTAAAGACATAAAAACTTGGATGACCCTGAATTTTCTGCTTTTGAACACAGACAAGACTGAGGTTTTGGTTTTTGGACCTGAGCATTTTATGTATTAATTTTTCAGTCTTTTGCCCTCCTTGGATGGCATTCATCTAGCCTCCAGCTCTAATGTTAAAAATCTTGGCGTTAATTTTGATCAGGACATGTCTTTTATCCCCCACATTAAAAACGTTAGAACCGCCTTCTTCCACCTGCGTAATATCTTCTTTTTCTTCTTCTTCTGATCCTTCTTGAGCATGTGATCAGCTGGTTTTGGTTGTCAGCAGCAAAACTGGTTGATCCACTCTGAGAAGGTGCTATTTAAAAGACTGAGCTGAATACAGCACCTCAGACTGAGGAAGTCTCTCGGATGAGAGACGAAACGTTTCTACATTTTTTTGTTGTTTTGCTTTGTTTTGTTTTTTTGAATGTCCAGAGGACCAGATTTAACTTTTTTAGACTAGCTCCATCTTGTATTCGAGATCTTATTGTTCCATATTTTCCTAACAAGTCAAGTCAACTTTATTTATAGAGCACATTTAAAACAGAACCTATTATCAAAGTGCTTAACAACAACAAGAATCAATTAGTAAATTAAAGAGAAAAAAAAAATTATTATATATATATATATATATATATATATATATATACACACACAACAGAGCACTTTGCTCTCAGAAGGCAGGCTTACTTGTTTTTACTACTTGAGTTTCCAAAAGCACAACGGGAGGAAGATTTTTCAGTTATCAGACTCCTCTCTTGTGAAACCAACTTCCAGTTTCTGTCCATAGGGCTGACACATTGTCCAGTTTTATGACTGGGCTTAAGACTTTCCTTTTTGATGAATTCTATAGCTAAGGTTGGATTGTTATGCGACTATAGGCTTAGACTACTGAAAGACAACTTGACCTTAATTCTTAAAATTAATTGCTAAAACTGAATAGTTTTCATTTGATAATATTTCTATCTTAACATGTGATTCTTGACCTGCCGTTGTGTATATGTTCCTCCTTTCTGTTCCTCTCAAACCCAGCTGGTCGACGCAGATGGCCGCTTGTCCTGAGCCTGGTTCGGCTAAAGGTTTCCTCCTCTTGAGGGAGTTTTTCCTTTCCACGGTTGCCTTTGTGCTTGCTCAAGATGATAGTTCTGCGTTGGAGTTAAATTCAAAGCAGTCTGCTCCTCAGATAAATAATGATAACTTATTTTATATACTGTATATATGAATTGTTTCTGTTCAGTGCCCTGAGATGACCTCTGTTTTGATGTGGTGCTATACAAATAAACAATTGAACTGAATTCCTTACCTCAAACCGCACACACTCAAGGTTCATTATACTAATTCTCCACGTCCTCTCGAACAAACATAGGCAGTCAGGTTGTTGGCTTTTTTTCCTGTTTGGTAAATCAGCAATTGTTGGGCTTGGGCAAGTCATTGTTTCTTGCTGCTTTTGTTTTACAGCAGCACAGTGAGGGAGTTACATATTTGATTGTGAGCATGGAATTTTTTGAAAATATAAATACTGAGTAAATAAAATGATAAAGCTTGCAACTTTTCTCCCTGTGTAAGCTTCAATTTTGAAAAAATGAAAAGTGATACAAAAGCCAGACATAGAACTGGTTTAGCTGCATATCCAATAGTGGATTTTTTGGCTCAACGTTCATAGTTAAAATACCCCCGCGGCCTGCTCTTTTACCCGCATGCCTCTCCACAGAGTTCAGCTCATCATTCAAACACAAACATGCTGACTGCTGTCTTCTCAACAAGAACGCTTCACGAGGGCCGGCTGGTTTACTTCCCCCTAAAGTCACATGTTAAAGGAAAACTGAGCATGGGTTTCAGCTGCACAAACACCATACTTCAGAACTATTCAACTGGCGGTCCGCGGGTGACTTAAGCCCGGCCTGCCAATGGGTTCATTAAAAAAAAAAAAAGGGAATAAATAA